GTTATTTTTTCTTTTTACAAATAAATTCTTTTTACAAATCTACGTATAACACGTAGGGTTGCCGTAAGTAGGGTCGCCAAATTTGGCGATTTATGCGAATTTTGGCCTGGTTGCGTTAATACGTAAGTACCCTTATTTTAAGTTAGAAAAGAAATTCTTATATTTCTCATGATATTTTCAATACTTTGGAAATTTTGTACTGTTGGTGGTGATCCAAATATGAGATAATTCATATAGATTGATAAAATCTATATCTCTCATCTATCTCCAACAATGTCTTCAGCAGTTGAATCGTTGTCAACATCAATTTACATACTGGAATTGTCTTCAACAACAAAGTATTTATCGAAATATTATTGAAAAATTTTGGGATTACGACCATAAAATTATTTTCTCCTAAGCAAGCAAATGGTTTATTTTGAGATCAGTAACTGGGAATAACGAATATAATTTTGATATTCATAATGTAAGATTTTAAGTTCTTTCCACTGTGTCTTTAATATTACAGATCTTTCATTCAGTATGTTTTGATCTAACGAGATCAAAAAAGAAAGCTTCCCTTACCGGGACATGAAACATTCCGAATATTTCTCGCTTTAATTAGGATTAGGATCACTTATTGGTTTGTTTAAAAAAACATGGAAAAAATCTGTATTATTTCTCCACCATAAGCTTAAACTGCTGCTCCTGAAAATAAATAAACGTAGGAACTAAAAGTGATTTTTATCTAAACGTCTGGATCCATGTACTCGTATTTTGGCGTTATTTCTAAACTAAATCCGAATCAGCACAAACCTTTCAATATGTATTTCACTCACATTTTCCGTATTCTGTCTGTTTTACCGCCTGATTTAGGGTAAAATTTTTAAAAACCTGCATGGCCAAAATTTTAACATGTTCAACTACTATGACTATCTACACAAGGAATAATTATGAGTAGGAAGTATTCTTGAAAAATCAGTGAAAAAAGTAAAAAATATATAAAAGATAGAGGAGTAGCTATCAGGGCTACTAGAACGATATATGAAAAAATTAAGCGATAACTTAATCTGGAAGTGACCCTTAAGTGTTCTAGTACATGTTTAAAAATGAAACTTTTAGAAATAGGATATATAAATTCTCGAATCTTGGTGCATTTTACTCATTTCTGATCTTTCGATTCCTACCCGGAAGATTATAAAATGTTTTAAATAAGATCTTGGGAAAGATTACCTTTACAGACGTTCTTAAGAAACTTTCATTAAAAAAGGAATATGACTACGACATTTTGAAAGGCTTGAATCACCAGTATCTCTTCTTTTCGGGCACGAGTAACTCTTTTAATTTTCTAGAGAGAAAGACGCGTTCCCTGATGTTTATTTGTTTTGAGTTTTGGAATAAACCTCTCTCCTTAACACCTATTTTGGTTTTAGAAGATTCAGGAAAGAGATTAAAAAACTGAAGCATCACTCATATATTTTTTATCGAAATATGTTGAGAAAACTAACCTTAACATTTAAGAGTTTAAAGTATGTACATTATTTAAAAAAAATTCATTTGCATTGTCTTGATAAATGTAAGTACATTTTTATAAAATGTGTTCTTTATTTTGTTTCATCAAACACAAATATAGAATGTAGTTTTTTAATAATATTTAATATAAAACATTTCTTTTTCTATTTTATCTTATTTCTATAGTAGGACTTTGAGATTCGAGAAATTGGGGATGTTCGGATCCCAGAAAATTTAGGATTCATTCCATCTTTAAATTTTTATGCAGATTATCAGAAATCTATAAATGCAAGAATATATTTAGTAAGTTTTAAATTAAGCACCTCCTGATGTCTCTTACTTTTATGTGAATTTTGTTGAATAAATTTTAATTTATAGTTAACAAATATGAAATTTTGTATATTTCAATGCTTTAAATAATAAACTTTAAAACAATTATTTGTATTTTCACCATAGATCTACAAATTTCAGACACAACTTCAAATTAAAACCTCTTTATATATATATACATAACTGGAAATTAAAATATTTTTGGCAACATTTTAGGTGTTATTTTGCTGTCAAAGACAGCCTTCGCAATTATTTATTAAATTTTATGTATTCATAGGAAGCAAAATGGATCTTATTTAAGATTAGCATTTAGAAAGTTCGAGTATTTGGCAATAAAATAATCTGCTAGTAAATTTACATCAATATTGAGATTTATCATGAATAAATAATACCTATAAACGAATTAAAGATCAGTTGCATTTTCTATAATTCCCACTAAATTATTTTTACTCCTTCGGAAAGACATTAAGTTTGCATGATTAAATATAAAAAACAAACTTAGCTTATGCACCATGAAAGAACTTGTGTTATATATCCTTTAAACCTGAGCATTCAAAAAGTAATTTTAAGGAATACGTTAAACACATTAGATTAATCTAAAACTCATCTTTATATATAACAGCGGCTTAAGTGTATGTCGACGATAGTTTATTGTTGCCACTCGGAAAAATGAGCACGGAAATTAACTTTTCCGCAGTTTTTAAATTAATATCTCGGCCGATTAAAGTCGTACAAAGATGAGAAATGCATCTCGATTTTCAACTCCCGTCCGTACCGTAGATATTCGAGGAAAAAGAATCTGGCACGTAGCCAAATCCCTCTAATAGAGAAAAACAAGAAAGAAAGTGGAAAATTAGTTTATAAAGTAGAGGAAAATTAGTTTTAAATTAATATCTCGGCTAATTAAAGTCCCACGAAGACGCGAATGGTCAAAATGGCGTGCCACGGACCTGCGCAATCCAACGGTGTGCTTCGCTAAGCCCAGGAACCAGTCGTTTCGGAGGAAATAATGTTACTTCACACCATATATATATGCGGCTTAAGTGTCTGTTTGTCGCCGATAGTTTATTGGTTGCTTGCGTAACTGTACTAGTCAATAGGGTGAAATTGCCACGGCACAGGGTTGCCCAGGGTTGACAATTTCCGTAAAATTGGTTGCCGTCATTGAGACTTTCCTAGACATATTTCCTGTAAAACTTGCCTCAATATATTTACTGCAAATATGCCTTAATATATTTACTGCTATGACCATCAATAAGTCTCAGGGCCAAACGCTTAAGAGTGTTGGCATTTTTTTTTACCTGAGCCTGCATTTAGACACGGTCAACTTTATGTTGCCTGTTTAAGAGTTCGTGAAAGAACGGACGTAAAATTAAAAATAATGGATGGTCCTCTGGAAGGCGAGGTTAAAAATAATGGAAAGATCTACACAAGAAATGTTGTATACAAAGAGATCTTTGACATGCGAATTAACATTTTATTATTTATATCACCTTTATTTATTGAGCTAGCGGTGGCTCTTAAGAAATGTACCACCAGTAGTTTCCTTCATTGCACTCTACTTTAAGCAATTAGGCAAGTAGAAGGGGGATGCCCCGTGGGGCAGTAAGCAAAGGGGCGTCCTCACCGCCTGCCCTGGGTAATTCAGTTTGAATTAGCAGACACCTTTGCACAAATCATTTTAATTACAATTTATAATATCTAGACCAATCAATCTATCTAGACTTATCAATATATTTGTCATCTCAGTCCTCAGGAAGGAAGAGATTAACTGTACTTAGAGGTTACGAAGCTGAGTTTTTGGTTTAGTATTGGAACTAGAGAAATTCTAATAGATGATTGCTGGGAAAATAAATAACTTAATAATAATTTTCATAGGTTAAGAAAAAGGAAGAAAAAATGAAATACGTCAATCTTGTTGAAATTTTTGCGAAATAGCAGTTCTGAAAGATGATGAATCCTAAACAAAACCTTTTCTAGTTATTTATTACCATTAAACTGTCCAGGTAACTTTTGTGAGGTTAAAATCAGCAAATGCATAATAGTTTATCAGGAGCACAGACAAAGAAGAGGGATGATAAACATAAATGTAATTTAGTAATAATTTGCAGTAAATATTTTATTGAAATGATTCTAAAACTGTTAATAGGAAGAGATTAACTGTACTTAGAGATTACAAAGCTGAGTTCCTGGCTTTTTTAAACTTTTTAAAAAATATAGGTGATACTTATTTTATAGTCATCTGCATAAACAATACTACCCATCTGACGAATATTTTATTAGATATTATTAGAATCTAGCAATCAGCTGCAGTGGCATAACGAAGGCGTGTCGTATGCTGATGACGAGATCCTGGTTACAGCGTCTGGTTGAAGCGCAGGTTTTACAACTGAGACTTATTAAAAGATAGAACTGTTGAAAATATACATCAGCCTACGAAATCGCGAATGGCTAGAACACGTCCTGCTAAAAATACGCAAAAAGGGAAGCATATGATCACTTTTTGTTCAGACTAACATTGAAGCAAGCATTATTTGATTCAGGTTACCAGTTTCATCAAGTCTGTCATAGGTCCAATTTCCTAACTGATGTCCAGATTATTGCAGTATGCCAATAAATACTCAGTAATAATCAAAGGTCATGCAATTTTATGTGAAATATTTTAGTATCATTATTTCATTTCCTGTTTATAATAAAGTAATTTAAAGGCGCAGTCTTACTTTTTTTATTATTTTGAGTATAATGCATATCATCACCAACAATACACTTTTACTATACAAATAGGTTTTGCTCTATCAAGTTAAAAGATAAAGCTAAGAAAATGCAATAATAAAAAATTCGATTATTAGTGATGCTTTTGTTAAATAGTCTCTAGAAAGATATGAAAACTGTATCCAATAAATAAAGTTTAAATATTGCAAGTTAAACGTCAAGCTTAAAAGTGTAAATCACTAAATTAAATAATTTGACTGAGTAATTAAAATACCAGAACTGTCATTAAATAAAAAATCGTATATAAAATTATATGAAATTTATGAATAATATCATATTATTTTTATGGTCAGCAATAAGCATGAATAATTTACCAGGCATCTGAAGCAAGATTGCCAAGAGCTAGTTTAATTCAAATATGCTGAAATAGCCGTTAAAATACGCATTTTGAAATATTTTAAACTTACATTTCACAATGAGCTGTGCCGTTTGGACAGCTTCTGATCCGATTCCGTTGAAGGCAACGCATTCGAATTCTCCTGTATCCTGCCTCGATACATTGACCACACTCAGAACAGACTTGCCACGTTCGACCGTCTCGTGCGTCCTACTCATGTCAAAACCAGGCCGCCTCCACGTGATCATTCTGCTCACAAATGGGTTTGCAACGGCCTGACACTCAAATTCTGCTGTCTCTCCACTTCCAACTACTGTGCTGCGAGTTAACTTCGTGATGCGCGCGGGATCTAAAATTTAGAGAGAGATTTCAAATGGGGTAGAATGTACAGTTGTATGGAAAATTGACATCATAAAAAAAATACAGGATAAATTTAGGTTATCATTATAATTTTATTATTCTGCTATAATTAATTTGCTAAAATAAAACCTTAGATTGTAAAAAAATTAAAACGGAATGTGCCATTTGTTCCCCTGCCTAACTTTTGAAACAAGGAAAACTATTTCACAGAAAATTTTGAACATGCATCGTTTTGCGATGCATTTCAAAGTAATTGCTTTGCTTTAATTAAGTGGCAGGGATTTAGTTCAATAAGAATTTAGAAATAAAAAACAGACTTGCTTTTAACATATCGAATAAAATGTTTGTTTTAAAATTATCAAAGCAGAACTATTAAATTTAGTTTAAACATTTAAACATGGTTATATCTGCTTCATTTGATATCTTATAGCATAAAACAACAGAAAGGACTCAGACTACTAGTAAGAATTTCAAAGTTCTCTAAAGAGTTAAATTAAATGCTGTGCAAATCATTATTTATGATTTCAGAGTTTTAATTTTACGAAGCAGAAGACTTTCCGCTTGATAACATGGCAATGCTCTATAATCGTTTCAAGAAACAAAACCTGGAAATTCTCTTAGGCGAGATGTACTTTTGTACATGGCAATGCTCTATAATCGTTTCAAGAAACAAAACCTGGAAATTCTCTTAGGCGAGATGTACCTTTGTATCAAATGAATAAGTCCGTTTTGACAATTTTTGAACTAATTTTTAAAATAGAAATGTTACGACATAGTGCTATATCATGTTACTGCGTTATCACAAGTGCGGCTTTACAACGCATCTTCACTCAGTGATGTAGATCAGTCATCATTTACGCTTATTACTCGCTAAAATGTTAAGTCGCAATTGCGTTCAAATGTAGTAATAGTATGAAGTAAGGTGTTTATAAAGTTCAGAACATTAATTAAAGCATGAAAAGCTTTCATAAACATGGTATAGGTTTAGCGACCTTTGAATGAAACGATCAGTTTGTAACATCTGGCACCTGCTCATGTTAAGTTATGTTAAATACGGAAGTGCTAAAAATAAAAAATAAATAGAAATAATATCTGAAATTTAAGATTCAAGAGAAACATGTTTCTTCGTGTTTTGAATGAAACGAAGAAAGAATGAAACAATTTTTCTTGCATTTGCTTATGAACAAGCTCCCAAGTAACAGGAATTGAATTTACTCCCCAGTATATAGCTTTTAATTGTTTTTGAATATTAGGTATTCAGTAAAAGACTGCCACTTATTATAGGATATATGGAGAAAAGGGCAGTTTTCTGTATTAAAATCATAAAACAAGGCGTAAGGTAAGAAAAAAATCACATTTCCATGCTCACATATGACATTTATGTTTACTGATGTCCATGTCACTCCTTCTGTGTTAGCCGCTTCACATCCATATTCTCCGCCATCGTCCCTTGTCACATCATTTAGTTCCAAAAGCGGTCCACGATAGACTGCCCTATGACCGTACCGTGCTCCACTGGGACGCGCATTGCCATCTGCCATGTCTAGCAAAGGAAGTCCATTCCTCGTCCATGAGTATGTGATTTGGGGAGGATTCGCCCTTGCTGTAGCATTGATGACTGTTGACTCCCCTTCCATAACATCAAATCGCTCCGCGGGAGTGAGGAGGAATTCTGGCTTATCTGGAAGTATATGTAAAAAACAGTTTAGATACATAAAAAAAATATTGCGAAAACACTTATTACTATATATATTTTAGGTCGAAATTTCCAAGAGATTCGGACTGGCGACCTCTGTGAAAAAATGTTCTTCCATAGCATTAATTACAAAAATTTTATATTTACCTGTGTAAATAAAATAATGAAATCTTATGGTTAATTAAATAAGCTAGCATATTAAATTCTCACCAGATTATTATTATTGAGAAAGATACAGAGAATGATCTCTGGCACGATTGCTAATATTTAAACATAAATTTGGATGAATAAGTCTTTATCCATCTCTTACCAATACATTCGCTTCGTATCTCTGATTTGTCAGAGTTGAATATGAATCGTAGTAATAACATACTCGGAGTAATAACATAATACATATGGTTTTTCTCATGCTACTGATGGACAGTATAACTTCGCGGCTATAGTCCTATGTCATATGACATATCTTAACCAATATCACTCCCACCTAATTGACTAAATGACAGCTAATTCTCCTGATGATGAAGCTGCAAAATATGTATTCATTAATTACTTACAGACGCTTCACGCATCGTATTTAATGCTGCTGTGTTAATACACTATGGATAAGCAAACGAAGGCTATCTTGAGAAGATAACTTCATTGAGGATATCCTAAAGGAGAGTGTCTTGTATTCGCATTATTTACAAGTAACTAACTTAAAACCGACTTAATATTCATCAATTATAAAACATTATACAATAAAACCATTACCACTTTAGATGGCTCCTAATTAACCACCAGCATCAACTGTCTCGCAAGATTTTCTCTCCACACTTAAACATCTGTTTGCCCAGAAAAGTACTTAACTGGGTAAAAGTTAAATGCACAGTTACTAACGATAAACTAAATACTGTCTTAAACAACAAAATAATTTTTTAATCAATTAACTTAAAACCGACTTTTATAATTATATTTTAATCATAAGTATATCTAAAGATACGCATATGTATCTCATAAATACCTGTTGTCTGTAAGTTATCGATAATACTAAAGTCACCAAAAGATTCGAAATTTTTCAAAAAGAATGATGTGTTTATACATTCCATTGTCGCGTGGCAACGAGCCATTCTACCACTAATGAGAATTAATCTATGTTCTTTTAACAACCCTGCATTATTTTGGGTCTTGATGCTAAACTAAACTCTCACTTAATGAATTGTAATTACCTAATGCAAGTATTATGTCTCCATTCTTATGCTATAATGAGTTTTGAAGAAATTTAAGCCATTAAGCTAATTTCATGCATTAAAATGACGGAATTTTGGATTTAAGTCCTTGGTAAAGAGAGATAATGATTAATGCTTACCTTAATTTAAAATGATTAAAAGAGCTACAATCTCATTTTCTGAGAATTTGAAAGTTTACTCTAAAAGCAAACATGATTACTGTGTAAGACAATAAGGAAATAACGTATATATCTTGAATACACAATGGCAACAGAAACGGTCTTTAAACAATAAATATTAAGTCTTGAGAAAACTGAAAAATGTTAAGGATGCATTATAAACTATTGTTTATGTGAGTATCGTTTGCTTCATTTCATTGTTGCAAATAGCGTAAATTTCTTTTGTTTTTCTTCCTTTAGTTTTGAACTTTATGTGTGGCAACAAGATAATTGACTGATAGAATTGTGTTTGTGACAGCCATGTAGAATGGCTCGCTTATTTTGTATCAATTATTTCGCATCGCTGACATTTTATTTATAATTAGTGTAATGAAATAAAAGTGAAGGAATATAGTCCATTTGTTGATTGATTATTGTTTGTAAAACATATTAAGTAAAGAACAGCTATTATATTTTAAAGTTTAAGTTTAAAAACTGCCGTTTAACCGTAATTAAAAATTCCTTTGATGTTTTTAATGGGATATTGACAAATGAATTTAGGACTTACATAAATATGAAATTTATAAATAAAAGGCGTTTTTCTAAGGATTCAAAAATTTTAAACAGTTCTCAAAAGAGATGTCAGTTAATTTATTTTAGCATGTAAAATGAATTTGTATAACAATAAATAAAAGTGCAGAGAGCAGAAATTAACACCTCGAATATAAGTGCATTGAATCTTAATAACGTGAGATTTAAATTTTAGGGAATCAAAATTTTAGAGATAATGAAAAGTAGCACTTTTCTTTAGTTAGATTATTGCAGTGCGACAAGCATGGGAGAGTTATATGCCGGCAGGTTTTCTTATAGTTATTTAAATATGCACAATGATGTAATAGATTCTGTGAAATTTATAATATATTTTCATTAGCAGTATAAAGTTTGGACAATGAGAATGTCGGTATCATAGATAATAATAGAAAAATTGCTTAATATATTGATAAGAAAAGAAATTAAAATTCACGAAAAGTTAATTACTTATTTTGAAGCAGATGAATAATCTGGAACAAAATTTGAATGTGGAAGAATATGACAAACTTAAAATATTTGATAGAACACTCATTCACTTCTTGGTTTGTGCTCTGCTTTAACTGAGACATATCTGGCTGAATATTAATACGCAAGAAAAGATTTATGTTCAGGCGTTCTCGATATTCGATCGTTTAGTTTTATAGCCAAAACATTCGATGTGAATGTATGTATTATTTTAATTTAAAAGCAAATTTCGCTAACTTTACTGAATTTTTGTATAGTTAATAAATTTCGCAGTAGTAACGCTTTTCGTTTTAAATATTCGAAGTATTAACGAAGTGCACCATATAATATCAATGCTGCATCTGAATTACAGGTACTCTTCTTCTATCAGGACCAGATAAATCAGAAGTAAATGTATGTATGTATATGTGTGCACACACATACACATGCATGTACGTACATATACATGCATACATGAATGCATACATACATGCATTTCTGGATCTGCCCCTGATAACAGAACAGTACCGACTCATATTACCCAGAACCGGTTTGGGCAAATAAATAGACTCATCAGATACTAATATTTTAAGATTAGTAGCATCCGTTGCTGTGCCCGTAGTTTATCCCTGGAGAAGCTACAAAGTATTTTATGTTAATTAAGACATTTTTATGATTTGGGCTTTTACTATGACTTCTCCTTTTCGTTAGCTCTCACCAGGATGTAAATGAGATTAAGACTATTTAAGAGTTTTAATTGTTTTAGGAAGGGAGCTTCTGAAGCGACGCTCTCAGATATCGCTCACCTCTGCCAGTTTGTATTCCGGCATTAGCCATTTTCTAGCCGAAGTTAAAATTCTTCGTGAAAGTTTGAGTCAGTTTAGTTAGGCCAAATTTAAATAGTCTACGGCTACAATCCCTTTTTAAATTGTAAATTCAACACTATGTTAACCCGCATATCATTTCTGATTGTACGCACAAGATGTGTCTTTTTTTTAATTCAAGTTTTTCTTCTTAAAACATAAACAAAAATAAAGTTTCTTTTCTTGCCCTTTTTTGAGTCAGTTTGATACAATGCTTCGAGCAATGTACTTTACTGGCCATTAAGTTTGACGTTAGTGAGATGTATCCGATTTAAATTTTTATGATGTGTAGATTATGATAGCACATTTAAATAATGTCAGAGCAGCACATTTGTAAATCATAAGCGTTAGTTACTTCACCTGGAAGTAGCTTAAGAAGAGAGAACACAGATTTTCCGTCTAATACTGGAATTGAATTTCTCGTTGTTCTTTTGCTTAAACGTTTTTCCTCGTTGAAGAACATTGCAGCCATGCGGTTGGAATTTGGTCTTTATTGCAGAAGAACTGAAGCAAACTGAAACTGGAGAAATCTTCTGAGAAACAGTGCTTATGTTGAACAGAATGCGTATAATGAATCGGTGGGTTAAGGAGGCATGAATTCACCGAAGCTGAGCATCACTACAATGCTGGCACAGAAGTAACTGCAGGACGGTTATTTAATGCGCATTGCTATTATACAGTAGCTAACACTATGAGAACATTTAAAAAATGTGCATTTCTTAAGTTTGAATGCGTAAAATTTTGCTTTTTTTAAAAGAAAATCCCATGAAGCTGCATAGCACTGGAAAGGCAGTTTTATGTAAAATATAATGCAGTTTAAGACAGAAGAGAAGCCCAATAAAACATAAGTTTTGGCAAAGCAATAACTTTATGTTCGGCGTAGATTTTAGTCAAGCCATTGATTTCGAGGGAAAACATGTGCAGGAGACTCTTCATCAAAAGCAAATAAATCTGAAACGAAGAAAAAGCCACGTTTATGTTTATGTCCAAAAGGAGTAAAGTAAACAAGTCTGTCTGCAGAAACAACTGTCTGTAGAAACGGTAAACAAAATTAAAAAATAAAGTTAATATAATTTTAAAAGCGTTGGGAAGAAGTGGATTGGATAGTAAAAGTCTTTAACTAAAAAAGCTAAATCTTTTGTAAATGTGAAAAGCTATTATAATTTGAAATTGAATCAAAATTTTTGATCTTTCTACAAAAATTATCCAAACAGCTTCTTCCATTGGTGAAGTGGATTTTCTTGAAGCTTTTCACAAAGATTTATCTTGTTTAGTTAACGACTTAAGATCCATTCCAGCCCTTCCTAACGCTTTTACAACTCTGTGAACTTAAATTTTTAAATTTACGATACTGTTTCTACAAACAGATGGTGCTATCTCCTCGTTCTCTTTACTCTTTTTGGGTATAAATACAACCATGGCTTTCCTTTCGTTGCAGATGATAGGGACCTGGATCTCGAAATCGATAGATTCTTGACTAAAAATCTACGCTAAAGATTAGGTTGTTGCTTTAACTAATTTTATGTAACGCAAGTTAAGTGAAAATAAACACGCAAAGAATTTACAATTAGGTAAAAATTTAACCATAAACTGGTATAGATTTTTAATAAAATTCTATCGATTTAGAGAGCAACGAGAGATACCTGCCTTTTCGTTTTTTCTTACTATTAATTACTTATACTAATATTCTAAATCAATAGAATTAACTTTAGACTTAATAGGTC